GGGGGGGGGGACGAGAATCAAGGTTATGACTTCGAGTTGCTTGATCGGCAGATGAGCGAACAATGTGTTTTAAAAGGAAACAGCGCGTACTTGTCAAAATCCGTCCGATAAAAATGCACATCAAGATGTTATATACTGCACATAAATACAAGGGCTAAAAGATCTAAAAGAATTCATCTTGATTGTTAAATTATACTTAAAGGTGAATCTATTAAAACAAATTTCGTTAAAACAGGAGGATCTGTTTCTCTTGCGCACAGGAATGTCTTTATACCTGGCATGACAACTATGCAATGTCTGCAATGGATGGTCTCTAGGTCTCCATTCATTAAAACGAAACTACTCTCTTTCCACAAAGCTCATGAATATTCATAACCAACTGACGTGTATTCTGTGAGAACTTTTTCTTAAAAAAACCTTTGCACAGAGTTTTACGGTGAGAAATTGTTTGACTAACAAAGGAGTACGTGACGAGATCTACCAAAAATGAAACTTTTTTCTCTTGGGGGCTTTTATGAAATTGACATCGCCAAATGGTCTTGAAATATTACAAAATTAGCTACAAATCGCTAAGGACAGGGAAAACGATGTCACGAACAATGTAAACTGTGCATTGGCCTACAGAGGTGGCTGGTGGTATAATAGCTATCATGGCGCCAATCCAAATGGTTTGTACGAAGGTGGAAGTCACGCACAGGGAGTAGCTTTGTACTTATTTGGAGGGCACCATTATTCGTATAAACGCATTGAGATGATACTTCGTCCAGCATGATTTTATTTCTGGGAGCTGCGTTTGTAAACGTTTCGCGAACTGCAACTCTCACGAGTTGAAGATATTTGTAATGCGTGAAGAGATTCTTCAAGTAAGGTTCTGATGATTGTATTATGGCGTGTTTGCGAGTTAGCCATAACGAAGATGGAGTGTGCCACATTAAAGATACAAAAGTTTTCTTGTCTCTGATACATTAGGGAAAGGACGATTGCATGTTCCTGATATGTAACAGTTTAAAAACGTGCACGTTGAAAAAGATCTATACATTAATACTCGGATAATATAGAAATACATGTGTACAATCTTATCCCAAGCCTTCTAATAAAATTCAATTGTTGTAATCAATTTGTGAGAATTAAAACTGGGCATGGAATGAACGATTACAGAATTTTTTTTATCACTTGGATCAGCTAAAACCCTTTGTTCGACGAACTCATCAAATGGTATCGCCCATGTCAATTCTCCTGTTTTGACAAAATTGATTATTAAACGCAGACCACTGGAGAATCACGCAACGAAATGTGCGGCAACTCCTTTTATTAATTCCCTGATACTTTGCCCACCGTGTAATTATTTAGTAGAATTATTCTCATTTGGCTAGTTTTGTCACCAATTTAAATCCGTTGTCTTTAAGAGTCTTGTTTATCGTCCGATCAATTACTAGAGGTTATAATTAGCTGCCATTGGGTTCATCGACTTTAATACGACAGGACTGAGGAGGGCTGGACTGGATGTGACTTACTCAAATGACAGGCGGGTGATAATTTTATGACCCAAGCTGTCTTGTTACCTTTCTTTTGAGAAAGCGCATTAGTTTTCAGACTGAAATTGTTTTGATTGGGTTTATAATCTTATACTGTAGCACACACCCAAGAATAAATAGTAACATCATAAAGGTTGCTTGGTATTTTTAAGGACGAAACCTATGCGTTATTCTAAAGTGTCACCCAAAGGGGATGAACCTAATTTTATTTCAAGAACATTAAAGAGCAAAGTTCTAGTTCACTATTTACGCTGCTCTTACGGTAGCTTGGTTTGTCCCCAATATCATTCACTAGTTTGATTATCTCCAAATCGAAACTCGAGTCTACCTAAAAGTGACTCTAAATGACCCTCGATAACATACACTTTAGCTGTTATCATGTTCGTACCTACTTTAAGAGTAGCAATGAAATAACCTTTACAATTTAATGCATCTTTTTGAGAGGAAATAATGTACGTACATCCGGGATCCATTATCCTTTTTGTCCTCTGTCTATTTAAGTTCACTTGGACTGAGCTATCTTATTGTCAGAGCTCGTTTCTTCGTTAATCCGTTCTGCTCTCAAATTTCGTACATTTTTGTCGGCTCTCTTTGGATTCTTGCTTGCCTTCTGGTTACTGTTCCGGTTTGAACAGCGCTGCGGCTTCTTAGTCGATTTACACACTCTGGCAAGATGACCCATTTTTCTGTTATATCTTGACTAAATCGCACCACATTCATCAGGACTGTGTCCATCCATTCCGCCGCATCGGTAACAGATAAAGTTCTTGCCGTCTCTGGTTCCGTCCGATTTTTTAGTGTGGATCCACTAGTATGGGGTTTTCTTTGATTCCTTTCGCAATTAAGGTAGCATCCTGTTTTGAGGTTTCGTCACTTCTCGCTATTTTGATGGTCTTCCTCAAGTCTAGATCGTCTTTCTGTGAGAGCTTTTGTCGAAGGTCGTTCGATGCACATTTCTCCACGATCTGATCTCGGATCATTTCTTCTTCCAACGCGCCAAAACCGTGCCGGTTTTGGCGCGTCTTTGTTAGTTCTCTAAGGGCGGAGACAGATATCGATCGTCTCTTCTGGCCTCTTTCCTTTTGATCGGAACATGTATCTTTCGGAAACCCCGTTTCTTTTCGGGGCAGAGTAATTTTATAATGCTTCCTTGGTTTCATCTAGCGTTTGGTTACCGCCAGGCAGAGTGGTAAAAATTCTTTGAACCGCGTGTGGGACTAAGGCAGTGCAAAAAAGTTGCTCTAATACTTCCACTATCAGTACAAATCGACTGTGTCTACATTGAATGGTGATGGAGGTTCAAGCATGGATCGTTCCATTCTTAAAAGAGTTTCTACCAATTCTATTTCTTCCATTCGTTTTCTTCTGCAAGTTCCGGAGAATACTCGTCACCAGTTTGTAGAGTATTCATAGGTCAAGCGATCACTCTCATTCCTCTAATTGAACTATATTTCATTAAATAATTAAAATGATATAGTTACCGTACAATACTTGTAGTCAGTTATTTTAAGTTTACTTAGGGTAATAGATTTACGGCATGCTTGGAAGTTACTTACAGTGGTAACGCTATATGACCTTATGTAACGCAATACACTATAAGGATTATCCATTGCATAGTTTCTAAAAGATTCACTTTTGAGGATAAATCAGCTATTTAGATGAATTCTTTGATCACTGTAACTTTTGTGTTTATATGCAGTATATTTATCTTTGCATCTATTTATTATGATGATTTAAGACTTATTATTAATTATTATTATTGTTATAATTACTATTTTCATCATTATTATAGTTATCAGTTAGCTAAAAGTTCCTACACAGAACTTCTAAAATGAAATCAAGCTGGTCGAAGTTTCATCTCGGTGTGCTTTAAAGAATAATCTTGTCCTCGAAATGACTCCCACGTAATTCCTTGTGCGTGACCTCCACCTTGGTACAAACCATTTGGATTAGCGTTATGGCAGTAGTTGTACCACCAGCCACCTTTATACACGGCACAATTCTTACTGTTATCGACGTCGTTGTCCCTGTCCTTGGTTGTAAACTTCATATTTCTAATATGAATAAAGAATTTCGTAAGAAACTAGAGAAGATGATACTGGTAGCAGTGCTTGGTCAGAACTATGCAAGAAGTGCTACATTGTCAGCAAAAAAATATGCCTTGATCAGGGAAGTTAAAGATATATGGGTTTATTAGCAATGCATAATTAAAAATGCATTAAGTTGGAAGGAGCAATTATGGCCGGCAACATATTCAGTTTCAGGTTGGACTATCTGATCAGCATTGATGCCTGTACATCGGAATGCAGTACTTTAGCAGAGCTACGTCATCAATACAAAGAGCTGATCGAATTAATTAAGAGCAAGTATAATCTTCAACCTTAGGCAATTATAAAATGCACTTCGTTGTTATTGTGAGGGAGTTTTTCGAAAGTTAACTTTGGTTATTCATTCTGCATAGCATCATGAACTGAAATGCCTGTAGCACACCTTATAGGCCTATTGAGCGATAGCAATGCATCGCCTGCGGTTCCTCGGTATCCATTGATCGTCACCCGATAATTATCGCTTTCGTCGGCCACAGAGAAAGTCGTGTACTCGGCAAATCTTCGGTCTCCATCATAATCCTCCATATCAATTCGAAACATCATGTTGGCTGATGCAGTCAGACGGTGAAGATAATCATTCCCAAGCCAAAACTCGCCCTTCAGATTTCCAAAGCCATTTTTGTATGATTCCCAGTCAACAAAGAAGTCTACAGATGTTAGAAGCTTAAATGTCTGCGTGATGTTCAATATCTTAATCACATCTACGCATTGAAACAGATGCAACTGTAAACTTTCCCTGCTTGGCTTCGCATAAAATTTGTAATAAATCTGCGGCAACTAAACAAGTACATCGGATAAATGTTCAGACAATCCTCTAATCCTCTAGAAGCCGTTGCTCGTGGAAACCAACAACCGGTATTGCCCATGCTAATTCTTTGGCTCGAATTCCTGTTCTTAATTATAAAACAGAAACACTTGGCGAACTGCACGACACGATATCGTGCACATACTCAATTAAATTTTTTGATACTTTGCCCATCGTATTCTTGTCTCATTGAATTGCATTATGCTAATTTTGATAATTATGTTACCAATTTCGAGTAGCTGCGTTTTCGTATTTATCGTCCGAGCAGGTATCGCAGTTTAGCTGCCACACATCTGACAGTGCTGTCTTGGTTTTATGACCCAAGCCGTTTTATTTTCTTGCTTCGGAAAAAAGCGCATCAACTTTCCGAATGAAACGTTGCTCTGACTGGATTGAGGAATACTTTGTTGTGCATTGTTAAAAAAATTTTTCAATCAAAAGCCAAGAAAATATCTAAATAATGGTGACGATGCAAATAATGATTGCTATTTCAAAGAAAAACAGACCTTAATTAGCAACTGATGTAAAAGTATTAGGAAACTCGCAATGCACGCTCCTATTCCAAAAACTTCTTTCCACTGCAATCCCGCCCTCTTCAATGCTTTTGTGACGGAAAAACCATTTAACTCCAACTTTCCTCTGAGATTAAACAGTAATCGTTAGATTCTCATTCGTATCTAAACAGATTGACAGGGCATCGGTCGTAATTCCGAGCAGGATCTAAAAGATTCTACTAGAAATTGATGTGGAAAGGGTCATTGTTTCTGAATTTTAATCAGTTATAGGGACAACAATGTAACTATCTGTAAAAGAAAATTAAAGGTTCATTTATCTGGCTGAGAATATCAGGTTAAAATGATTCGTTTCATGCTTTATTTAGGGTCTTTTAAAGAACAAAAAGATGAATCAACCCTCATAGAGTCTCAGCGAAAGAAAAGGGGAACGCCGCAATCTAATAAAATCCGAAAGAAAATTGATAACAGCATAGCAAAAGGACTGAAAGTCACTTTTGACGCATATCGAATAGCTTCTATTGCTCTTAATCTGTCGATTTCCTTGCACCTGCTTAATATTTAGTTACGTCATAGAAATGAAACAAACATTCATTCTTGTTCATCATTATTTTGTCTGACGGCAAAGACTACTCATGCATCTCTTTATGATATTTCTTCTTTGTGCCGTTGTGTACGGCATTGGCCGCATTTCAGAGCCAGATCTGAGAGCTGTAAACTTTGCCGACAAGATAGAAGGAAAAAAACTGAACGGAAGCCTGATAAGAGAAATAGAAGTGGATTCGGAAAGTTCCTGTCAGCTGGAGTGTGTGGATGAGGAGCGTTGTCAGTCTTACAACTTTGGAACCATAAAGGACGACTCAGAGAAATTCAAGTGCCAACTAAGTGACTCTGATCGATTTGCAGTAATTTCCAACCTCACTGAGGATAATAATTTCATATACAGAGAAATAAAGGTAACCTAGATCTGTCTTAGTGTATAAACAATGTTTGAATATTATTATCTGAAATCGTCACTAGATCTCTTTACAATGATTCCTAACTCTAATGCATCAACCTTCCTCTAC